TACATGTTATTCACCCCGGCAAATGTTATTGTGACCGCGGGAAATTCAAATCAGAGCTTATAGATAATATACGCCTTGATACTACTTTACTCAATTTGTCAAATGCTTTATCCATATTTACAATCTTACATTATTTCATTATATTCTTGATTTATTAATTATAGTTTGTTTATTTTGTCCAAAGAATCCATAACGCAATATGWGAATTGTTTTTTATTGTTTTCTGTTATTCTATATGATAATTTAAATGTTTCAACCCGCAATATCTTAATCTTTAGTTTTGAACAGATTATTTCTTTCATCSTATGTGTATAAGCCGTTACTTTACACTGACGTGAATTTATTATTTTGAAAACGGAAATTAATTTCTACAAATAAAGATAATTCAAAGTTATCACTTGAAATTTAAGTTACGGTAGGTACATRAACTTCACTATATAATATAATATCATCATAATATTAAATGATAAAATCAATAATATTTACCTCGAAGTCGTAAATTAATTTGAATTTAATTCCTATTACTGGCACTTATATGTAGGTATATTAAATTTACCGAATGTGTCACTCACCTTCTTTGTTGAGCGTCACTCTCAACCTTGTGTCCCAAAAGCCGCTAGACGAGTCCCTCCAGGTCCATCTCACCATCATGTACGAATCGGTGACGGTGTTGTTGAAGAACGACACGCCACCACTGCCAGGATCAGCTCTGTTGAGCACCCAAGGAGCCGTCTAAAAGCGATGTCTCAAATTTATTTTTCATTTTTTTTTTTTTTATGTATACGTTAGGCCCACAGAAAATCAAATAAACTTGAGCGCATATATATATGTTTAACAGTAATACTTGGTTACGTACTTGGCTACTAAAAACGATGTCAGATAAAAAGAGCAACACCAATGGAAATGTGTTCGCCATCGTGGCTAAATTAACTCTAAAATAACATTATTATTACTACCTATTACTATATTTGTAGTAACTAGTAACAGCTAGTGTATGATGTATTACGACTTTAACKATAGTGTTGGGGGGAAAATCGAACCTTGGAATATTAATAATTTATAGCGTATGTTTTGTTTGTTTTATTATTTTATAAAGAATCAGATACATATACCTGGGTCATTCGTGTAGATTCAGATACATCGGTTTGATAATATTATAACATTATACTTACAACCACGTTTTGAGCTATATGGCCGCTGATTATATTTTTTTTCATTATTTGTTCAAGTTACAATGCAAAAACGCTGAACGGTTCAGTTACCACAAACAGAGTAAGCAGCATATATTATATATACACACACGTAAGATGTTTTTGTGATTTAAATTAATAAATTAGTATACCATATTATTATATGAATAATAGTTTTGGGTTATTAATTATTATTGTGATGACATCTAACTTGTGAAATACTGCAGTAGAAAATTTAATGGACAATAATAAAGTTATTTTGCTGGTCTGTCGATTGTTGTCAACCGTGCCATACAAAATACGTTACATTATTGTGCAACTTCAACGGGTCAACACGAAAATCGTCAATAGTGCAATTTTTGTTTTATAATTTTTTTAAATGACCGTGACTATAGCCCAACCATCGCATTTTATAATTAGTACCTACACAAAGTTAAACAACTTAAAAACTATATTATTTCAAATGTCGATTTTGATATGTAAACATTTTGAAAAAATTATCAGCAAAGTAATTCACAGCCGAAAAGAGTGTTCTCATTTGAAAAATAGAAGTTTATATCTTCACAGCACACCCCTTATTAACACGAGCAGTACAAAAAATAGGGAATATATATAAAAAAAAAGTTATATAAAAGTATTCAATAAGATGAAAATATAGTCTTTAAGTATAATTAAAAACTTCAAAAATCAGATTTTTAATAACCGTATTATTTTAGAAAAAAAGACCTAGGAAGTGTGCACTACAGAGCATGTTTGGTGAATCACTCTGTATAATTCTTTTTTAATTTTTAAATATTTTTGATACTTAACTAAGAGCATAGTTTATTTTTTAAACATCGCAATAATGAATAATAGCTAAAAATATTTCGATAACAAGAATTTTACTTATAGGTAAGGATTACAACAATTTTTAACTGAAATGTATCGAAATATGATATTATCACGAATTAAATATAACGTAAGTAATAGTATGTTTAATCATTTATATTTGGTTATTCTTTTTTTCCATCACAGTAATATSATGTTTAATCATTCATACATTCTTATTCTTTTTGTAGTCTAACTACAATTAATATTAATTGATAATTTTAATGTTAATATCGCGATACAGAGTTTATTAAAAAAAAAGTAAAACCCACAACAGTAATTATTATCATGATAAAACAGCAGCAATAGACAAAAACGATAAATAGAATTTCAATGAACTGTGATTAAATTACAAATAAAATATAATTTTTCTGGTGATTTCGCTAACGACATAATAGAATTTGAACACCTCCCGCTGTGACTCAGTATTGATGATGTGAATATAACGTTTGCACGTAAAATGTACACACGTGCGTATAAATTGAATAAGCTTTAAAAATCGAATAGAATTCATAAGTAATAATAATTACCAAACTG